AGCTTATGCACTGGAGACAAATTCCTTGTGTGCCCATCCACACTTGGCCAATAAATAATTCTATACTATTCTATACTATTCTATTTCTACTCAACTCTAATCTATTCTCTATATTCTATTCTATTCTCTATTTTCTATCCTATTTTCTATCTATTTTCTATTCTATTCTACTCTACTCTTCTATGCTATACTGTATTATACTATATTATACTATACTTCTACTATACTACTACTATACTATACTACTATACTATACAGAAACAGGCAAAGTTTACTTGTGTCCTTGTATGTACACTGAGAGCTTATGCACTGGAGACAAATTCGTTGTGTGCCCAACCACACTTGGCCAATAATGAATTCTATACTATTCTATTTCTATTCTATTCCACCCTATTCTACTCTACTCTACTCTACTCTACTCTACTCTACTCTCCATATTCTATTCTATTCTCTATTTTCTATCTATTTTCTTTTCTATTCTTTTCTTTTCTACTCTACTCTTCTATAATCTACTACACTACACTACACTACACTACACTATAACTGAAACAGGCAAAGCCTACTTGTGTCCTATGTACACTGAGAGCTTATGCACCGGAGACAAATTCCTTGCATGCCCAACCACACTTAGCCAATGAACAATTCTAATTCATGTTTCCACGTTTTCCCTTCCTTGTTTTGCAGTGGACTGCATGGACCCCACTTGCTCAGGACGTGGCGTCTGTGTGAGAGGGGAATGCCACTGCTCCGTGGGCTGGGGAGGGGCCAACTGTGAGACCCCGAGAGCCACTTGTCTGGATCAGTGTTCGGGCCATGGAACCTTCCTGTCCGAAACCAGCCTCTGCACCTGCGATCCCAACTGGACCGGGCACGACTGTTCCACAGGTAATTGCACCTACGAATGTACCTTTGTTGAACTTTTGCGTGTCCGTCTGGTGGCAGAATGACAGTCTACGATCTTGTAGATCTCCCTGAGTTTCCCACAAGGCAGGTCTCTCTTGTGGTCCACGCTTGGGATGAAACGCATACGAATGGCAAGTGGCTGTTTTCTTACCTTTGCCTAAGGGGGATGCAGTGGTTGCAGTGCAGCACTGCAGGCAAGCTCGGCCCACTGCCAGGAGTTTGATACCGATCGGCTCAAAGTGGACGCATTAACCCAGGGGGGTCAAACTCGATTTCATCGAGGGCCGCATCAGGGTTGTGTTTTTGACCTTGGAGGGCCAAGGTGGGTGTGGCATGGCCAGCTTCATGGCACTTGTGTTGTGGGGGAGGTGTTTCTGCGGCCCAAGCGCTCTGCCAGTGAAAACAGGCTCCTGAGCTTCGATTTTGGCTGCAGTGGCCTCCTGCGACCCTCCGCTAGCAAAAACAGAGTTTGGGGGAACCACGCACAGCTCCATTTTTGGCCGTGACAGCCTCCTGCAGCCCTCTGCTAGTGAAAATGGAGTCCCCCCCCGCCAGCTCCATTTTTGCTGGCAGATGTCTGCAGGAGGCTGTTGTGGCCGAAAACGGAGCTCGGGAGCACCACACACAGAGTCCCACCAAGCTCCGTTTTCGCTAGCAGAGGCACCATGGTCCTGACATTCACTGTTTCTAGGATGGCACTGCAAGCCGGAGCTAAGCACCCTGCGGGCTGGATCCGGTCTGCGGACCTTGAATTTGACACGGAGGTGGGATTCAGCAGGTTCTGACCAGTTCTGGAGAACCGGTAGCGGAAATTCTGAGTAATTTGGAGAACTGGCAAATCCCACCTCTGACTGGCCCCGCCCCTCCTCTATTCTCTGCCTCTCGAGTCCCAGCGGATTGGCTGGATCTCCTTTGGTTGCCCTGCACAGGAGAACGGAGCTGGAAAGCAGGTTAGTGGGGTGGGGAGGGAATGGGGATTTTGCAGTAACCTTCCCCCAGGAGTGGGAGGGAATAGGGATTTTACATTATCCTTCCCCTGCCACGCCCACCAAGCCACAACCGCCATGTCACGCCTACAGAACCGGTAGTAAAAAAAAAATTTGAATCCCACCACTGGTTTGACACCCGTGCACTAACCCTTCTGGAGGGCAAAACGAAAGGGAGGACATGATTGAAAGCTTTAAACATAGGAGGGGTGTGGATATGGTTCTAGAAGGCCGTCTTTTCAATATTAAGCAAAAATCCAGAAGACGGGGCCATAACCTCAAACCGACAGGAGGGAACTTCAAAAGTTACGTCAGAAAATATTGCTTCACAAAAAGAGTAGTGGAAGTTTGGAACCAACTTCCAGCAGAGGTAGTGGACCAGTCATCAGTACAAATAGTTCTCAACTTACAACTTTCTGTTTAGTGACCGTTCAAAGTTACAGTGGCATTGAAAGATGTGCCTTATGGCTATTTTCCACACAACTGTTACGTAGCATCCCCAGGGTCCTGAGATCAAAATTTGGATGCTTTGGCAACGGGTCCCTATTTATGACGGTTGCAGCATCCCGAGTTATGTAATCTCCCTTTACGAACTTCCGACAAGTAAAGTCAACGAGGAAGGCAGGTTCACACAACAACCAGGTTAACTAACTTATCAACTGCTGTGATTCACTTAACAACCATGGCAAGAGAAGTTGTGAATTGGGGGCAAAACTCACTTAATAACTGTCTGCCTTAGCAACAGAAATTGGGGTTTAAGCATGCTTGGGATGAACACACACGTCCATCATCCAACAAAAAAAATTGAGTTTAAACCTGCTTGGAATAAACACATCATCCAACAAAAATTAAAACGATAAAATTAAAAAAAAATGGACCACTAGGTCTTTTTCTTCTGTCACCTTTTGTTGTGGCCTGATGACCGCCGGCCCCTCCAGCAGCTGAATCAGAGGAAGAGGAGGAGGCGTGAGAGTTAAGGTCAGCATTAAGGCAACCTGGGAGCTCCCAGCGGGAAGAGGGAATGGAGCTGGCAGAGAGAGAGGGGGGCGGAGCCTGGGCCGTCCGTCAGCCCTCAGATGGAAAGTCAACAGCCCCCAGGTCTGGAGGTGGCTAACGAAGAAGAGGAGGAATAGCTGGGTACAGTGCCTGATGCGCAGAAGGCAGAAGAGAGGAGAGCAGTGGAAATCTATGGGCTGGTCCTTGGGACGGAAGAGCCACTGCTGCTTGCGGATAAAAGGCAGGGGGTGGAGATGAATAGATGTAGCAAACAACTATTCCCGGCAGGATAGACTTGTTATCCTGCGGTAAGAGAGAAACTTTTTCCCGGGGCTGCTAGTACTCCTATTGAAGGAATCATTGTGTCAGCGTTCCAGGGAAAATCCATTCCTGTCAGGAACTCCAAGACAAGCATCATCTCAAAGTACTTTTATTAGAATAGCACCTGGCACATTCTGTGGAATTCCAAAACTAAAAGTTTCCTGGCTTCCCCCCAATGTCCCAACCTACAAACCATCCCCTTTTTTTTCTCATCATCACATCACATGAACCAATCCCAAAGTAAGTTCCAATTCTTTCTGCGCCACAGTCTTTAACCTTTGTTGAGGTAATTCCCCGTTAGGAGAATGAGCGCATACAGGGAGACGTATTTGAGAGAAGTGTTTGAATAATACACACAGAGTACACAGATACACTGTACAGTAAATGTAGGTTTTTACTTCCAGAAAGGTTTAAGCAAAGTCCAAAATAAGCAATCCAAAAGTCATTCACAGGTAAATCAGTCAGTTTTTCAATCCAGGGATAATCCAAATATCAAATTCCAGTGTCAAAAAACAGTTCAGTATCAGACTTACATTAAATCCAGTAATATCAGTCAGTTAGAAGAAATGGAGCAGCGGCAATACTTTCCAACAGAAGGAAACAGAGATAATCACTCAGACACACTCTCTTCTGAGACTAAGACTAAACAACCCAGGTTTCTGGCTCCATCTTATGGCTGTTTGAGAAACCACACCCAATTACAGTTTTTCATTTTCTTAAAGATACAGTTTTAAAATGTTTATCCTGGTTTATATATTTCTAACCCAAATACCTGTTAGGTGACTTATATTCCTAACAACCTTGAACTATCAAAAGAATTATATTTTGTCTACCAAGAGCTACTCAATTAACATCACCCCCTCCCACTTTCTCCAGCTCTGTGGCAGCGATGAATCATGATTTCATAGCTAACATATTGCTTCAACCACAGAGGGCTTGTCGTGTTTGGGGAGCTGGGTAAAAACACCTTTCTATGTTTATATGGAGGCTAAAAGCAAGCTTTAAAAAAAAAATCCCAAAGTGACCTACCCGATTCTCTATGACTGCAAGAAACATTATTCAAGCACTCGCTCAAGTTTTGACCTGAAGGGGAATTTACCTTTTTAGTGAATAACACACAAATTCATCTTTTTGGAGCTCGAAGTTGACTTGGAGAAATGAGCGAGAGTTTACCAATCACCTTAGCGGAGACTTTTGGCCAGGAGGCACAAAACAATAATAGCGTTAACCTCGGAAGTAGCTCCATGAAGGGTGAAGTCTGAAGAGCAAAGGTTGGGTGTAATTTTGTGCGGCTTGCAAAAAAAAGCAAGCAGGGTGTTACAAAGGTAGAGCGGGGAAAGGCGATGTTTTGATTTGTGACCTCGTGATGGGGGCTAGTTTGTCATACAAGGAGCGAAGAGATAGCGTGCACATTAATTTATGAGGAAGGACAAGCCTCCCGAGAAATTCTCTGCATTGAAAAATAACCTCCACTGAGAGGATTATAGGCATGGAGTTGAGGGTGCTAATTTTTGCACTGTGCAAAAAATATAATCATCCTGTAAGAAGGATTGCAAGAACTAGGCCTGGCTAGTCTAGTGAAGAGAAGGACCAGGGGAGACATGATAGAGGTCTTCCAATATTTGAGGGGCTGCCACAGAGAAGAGGAGGGGGTCAAGCTATTTTCCAAAGCACCCGAAGGCCAGACAAGGAATCATGGATGGAAACTGATCAAGGAGAGATTCAACCTGGAAATAAGGAGAAACTTTCTGACAGGGAGAACAATCAACCGATGGAACAGAAGTTGCCTTCAGAAGTTGTAGGAGCTTCATCACTGGAAGCTTTTGAGAAGAGGCTGGACTGCCATCTGTCAAAAATTGTGTAGGGTCTTCTGCTTGGGCGGGGGGTTGACTAGAAGACCTCCAAGGTCCCTTCCAACTCTGTTATTCTGTTAATAATTTTATCTTCGACCACTTAACGTGACTTCTTGCAAAACTACAGAACTTCTGGAGCAAACTTCCACTTTCAGCCTCCCCGGAAAATGCTCCACTAAATATTCTGGTTTTTATTTTTTATTTTGGTTAGACAAAGTAAAAAAGGGGGAAGTGAGTCATTTTCATTTACTGGAGTTAAAAAAAGATATCCTGGAGGGAATTAAAAGGTCTTTAATACGAGTTGTGCGATGACTAATCCAATCTCCAATCCTGTGGCCCTTTTTTCAAACTGGGAGTTGATAAATTCCCTTCAAAAGTAGCTTTTCTAAAATGAAAAGCAATTTTTTTCAGTCAGTTCAGTTCACTTTATTGTCATTACACTTCATACAAGAAAATTAAATGCCATCTTCATTGTACATTATAACTATAAAAATAAAACACAAACACACATTCTTTGCATTCTATACAATTGAATTGAAATGATACTGCATTTATATTGTACTATACAATAGAATATATAGTAAAATATTGCATTATACAATAGATAATACTGTATAGTGTAGAATATACAGTATTATACAATATTATATACTATTATATATTATATAAATTATATTTATGTATATATTATACACATTATATGCAATATGTATTATATGTTATATCTACTACTGCATAGTGTAGAATATACATTATTGTATAGTATTATATGCTTTATTATACTGTATATTATATACATGTATTATATACATTATATGCAATATATATTATATATTATATACAGTATATACAGTAGAATATCCAGTATTCTACCGTATAGTGTAGAATATGCATTATTGTACAGTATTATATACTTTATTATATATTATGTACATTATATACATGCATATATTATATACATTATATGCAATATACTGTATATTATATTCAGTATATATAGTAGAATATCCAGTAAAATATTGCACTATACAGTAAAATATACAGTAGAAAAGAAAACAGCGAAGAAGAATGTTTCCTTTGTCAAAGCAATTTGTCTCAAAAGACAGTTGTTGTTATTTTTTTTCAAAATATGTTGGAAGTGCCCCAAAGCTTAGCTACAGTTCAGCCCTTCTGAACTCTCCATTCTTATGAGATTCTCACAAATCCTCGTGAATTGCCACCAGGTGGGTTTGGCTCATGTCCCCTATTTCGAATTTGCAAAATGGTTGGCCATCGCTGACCATCAGGAGGCTTGACCACCCAAGAAGTAGACAAGCCAAGCTCCAAGGAAGGGAGGGAGGGAGGAAGGAAGGAAGGAAGGAAAACAAGGAAGGAAGGAAAACAAGGAAGGAAGGAAGGA